TACGAAGGGATTTAATGAACTTAACTGACACTGAAAACATGTTCACACTGAGACTGTGGCAGCCACTGGCCCACAGAGACGCTGTTTATTTATTAGTTATGAATTAAATATGTTTTGGGCTCAGATATTTATTCAGGCTTTCTGAATTCAACGACCTGAGAAATGTTAGCTCAAAACAAATCCATTAAGATCAAACAGGATATTTATTCATTGTGTGGCATAAATATACATAGAGCTGCTTTCATTCTTTTACTTGTGGTGTTTCACCTCAAAAATTATTTTATTTTACAATTAAATAGAAAACATTTTGTATTGGAACAGGAATTGAATTCAATTTCAATACCTGTTATTATGGTTTAGGAAGAAGAAGAAGATATACTTTATTGATCCCCTAGGGGGAAATTGTTTTTTTCACTCTTTTTTTTTTATTACACACAACACACACACAACACACCACACACACACACACACAGGCTGAAATGCACACTCCATCACATGTGGACATGCAAAGGGAGAGATGGTGGAGTGGTGGATTTTATGACTTTTTAACCTTTAGCTGGAGGGTGTACAAGATTTTAGGATTAGAATCATATCATGATACTCGAGCAAGAAATACCGTTTCTACTGCATCAATAATCATTTGTTTCATCGCAGGTGAAGATTCAAACACCGATCAGTTCAAATGATTCTCAAACTCTGGATCTTTAGTGTCATTAACACATTTCTACAGACGGGGGGACAGGAGCTCAAAAGGGTTCCTTTTAGAGCCAGTGGGAATCAAAAACCGACAACTTCCTGTTGAGTGGAGTGGCTTTTAAATAACCTGTTAATTACCTGATATTCCCCAATAAAGAGCAGGCAGCAGTCTGTCATAATGAGCCAGCTGAGAGAGAGACAGAGAGAGAGAGAGAGAGAAGCTGAGCAGTCTCGGGGGGACGCCTTCCCCCATTTTCTTAATATTTCCCAGATTAGTCCCGGCTGCGGCGGGGAGATAATCCCTGGAGAGATGAGGAGAGGGAGCGATGGGATTGGGGAGCGGCGGTGGGGGAGGAGAGGAATCCTCCAAGCGTGGAGTGTTCCTCTTCTTCTTCTTCTCCTCCGATGGATTACGGCGGGCATTTTGAAACATATTCAGCACGCCGCGGCAGGCGGAGCGAGGCGGGATAAGGTGTTACCGTGGAGGGGTGGTTGTTAACGCAGAGGGCGTGTAAAAAGATGGCGGAGCAGTGCATACGTGGCGGGGGTTAGTGGCAGTCGGATGAAGTGATCAGAACAGGGATGAGGTGATGAGGTTAATGGAGGCGGGCGGCGGCGGTGGAGGGGGGGTCAAGGAGAACTAAGGATTGATTCTCAAAGACAAAGTAACCCTACGAGTACGATACCACAGTACCAGTACCAGCCGAGCACCAGCACCAGGCACCAGTACCAGTACCAGGCACCAGTCCGAGCACCAGCACCAGCACCAGTACCAGCACCAGTCCGAGGCACCAGCACCAGCCACCAGTACCAGGGTCCCAGTACCAGTTCCGAGCACCAGCACCAGCACCAGTACCAGTCCCAGTACCATGTCCGAGACCAGTCGAGCACCAGCACCAGTACCAGCACCAAGCACCAGCACCAGTCCAAGCACCAGCACCAGTCCAAGCCCCAGTACCAGCACCAGTACCAGCACCAGTCCAAGGCACCAGCACCAGTACCAGCACAAGTACCAGACAAGTCCAGTACCAGCACCCAGCCATCAGTCCCAGTACCAGTCCGAGCAACCAGCACCAGTACCCAGCACCAGCACCAGCTCCAGTTACAAGTACCAGTACCAGCACCAGCACCAGTACCAGCACCAGTCCAAAGCATCCAGGTCCGAGCAACCAGCACCAGTCCAAGCACCCAGCACCAGTACCAGTACCAGCACAAGTACCAGACAAGGTACCAGTACCAGCACCAGCACCAGCACCAGTCCAAGCACCAGTCCAAGCACCAGTCCGAGCAGCCAGCACAGTCCCCAAGCCACCAGCGACCAGTTACCAGTACCAGCACAAGTTCCAAGCCAACAGCACACAGCACCAGCACAGTCCCAGTCCCAGTCCAAGCACAGCACCAGTCCAGACCATGCCACCAGTCAAGCAACAGCCACCAGCACCAGTCCAAGCACCTAGTACCAGCACCAGTCCCAGTACCAGCAACCAGTGCAAGCACCAGTCCCAGCACAGCACCATACAAGCCCAGCACCAGTCCAAGCACCACACCAGCACCAGTCCAAGCACCAGTACAAGCACCAGCACCAGTACCCGCTTCCTCTCTACCAGTCCCAAGCACCATCCAGTAACAGTTACCAGCACCAGCACCAGTACAAGCACCAGGTACCGGCTTCTTCTCTACCAGTACCTAGTAACCAGTACCAGCACCAGTCCGAGCACCAGCACCAGCACCAGTCCCAGCCCAGTCCAAGCACCAAGCACTAGCAAGCCAGCTCCCATCCAAAGCACAGCACCAGTCCAACACCAGCACCAGTCCAAGCACCAGCACCAGTCCAAGCAACAGCACCAGCACCAGCACCAGCCCAGTCCCAGTCCAAGACCAGCAACCAGGTCCAAGCACCAGCACCAGTCCAATCAACAGCACTCAGGCACCATCCAAGCACCAGTACCAGCACCAGGTCCCAGTATACCAGGCACCAGTGCAAGCACCAGTCCCAGCACCAGCACCAGTACAAGCACCAGCACCAGTCCAAGCACCAGCACCAGGCAACCAGTCCAAGCACCAGGTTACAAGCACAGCACCAGTACGCTTCCTCTCTACCAGTCCCAGCAAGTCCCAGTACCATACCAAGCACAGACCAGCTACAAGCACAGTACCGCTTCCTCTCTACCAGTTACCAGTACCCATGTACCAGCACCAGCACCAGTCCGAGCACCAGCACCCAGCACCAGCACCAGTCCCAGGTTCCCAGTCCAAGCACCAGCACTAGCACCCAGTCCCAGGTCAAGCACCAGCACCCAGTCCAAGCACCAGCACCAGTCCAAGCAACAGCACCAGCACCAAGGCCCCAGTTCCCCAGTCCCAGTCCAAGCAACAGCACCAGCACCAGTCAGCACCAGGTACCAGTCCCAGCAACCAGCCACCAGTACAAGCACCATGCACCAGTCCAAGCACCAGGCACCAGCACCAGTCCCAGACCAGTCCAAGGCACCAGGTACAGACCATCACCAGTACTCCGCTTCCTCTCTACCAGTACCAGCACCAGTACCAGTACCAGCACCAGCACCAGTACCAGTACCAGCACCAGTACCAGTACCAGCACCAGTACCCTCCCTCTCTACCAGTACCAGTACCCTCCCTCTCCTCACTCTGTTCCATCCCTCCTCTGCTCCCCTGACGACTGTTGCCATGGTTTCCAGTGTGCAGCAGTGCTGCTGCAGGTCGGTTACCATGGTGACAGCAGTCCGTCACAGTGAGGGAACAGATGAAAGTTTCTGATCTATCACACATCAGGAGGAGGCGGAGCTTCCCAGCCGCCACACGGCATGCTGGGAGCTCCGCCCCCTCGCCCTCTCTCATCTTGGCCCTCGATTGCCCCACTATCTCTCTCTCTCTGTGTCATCCCTCCATCAGTCAGACCTCTCATCTTTTTCATTTCTACTCGTTTTACTCTCTCAGACCATCCCTCCCCTCTCCCCCTCCCTCCCTGATCCTCCCACAGAGAGTGGTATATGAATCCAGATGAATTGTGGGTAATAAATCCAGGACTCTGCAGGTTTTGGTAATAAACTCTGTGAACTGAACTTCGATAATAATCAGCCTCCAGAGGAGTGACAGAGAGAGGAAAATCTTCCTCAAACTTTTTAATCATCCTCTGAACATCATCTTCACTTATTGATTATTGACTGACACTTTATCCTGATTCTATCAGATTAAAATCTGAAGAAAACACTTTGAACCACACAGACCAGGTAGAATATTTCTGCTCTGATTGATAAAACTAGACAGAATATAAAGTAAAATACATCAGCGGCTCAATGTATTCATATTCCATTATACGTCTTAAAGGTCAGGATGAACTTAAATCTCTAATTTTGAGCCAAAACGGAAGAAAAGTCTTTAAAAGTGTAAAAATAAAAGTTTGTATTGTTTATAGCGGATGATAATGATTAAAGATTCAGTGATCCCAATAATAATTCAAATGTATATTACTACATTTCAGCGTTACACAAACAAGCACCATTTGTTTGGAGCCGGAGTTCAGCCGTGATCGGGGTTGGCGCCGCCGTAACCAGGTCCCGCCCATACGCCCGTTAATAGTATCTACTAGTGCTGGTTTTAATTTGACATATACTGCCATCCATAGCTGAAACAACTGCTCTAATAGAACATCTGAGACATCTCTCTTTGAATACTTCACTACTTTAAATACTTTGATGTTTTTACAGTTTGCACAGTAACAGGCGCTCAGGTAATGTCATCCAGGTGAAACCTGCAGAGCGTCTGTCTGATTTAAATATCTGTGTCCATCAGCAGCTCCTCTGTCTCCATAAGCAAATACTCAGCAGGCAGATTACATTCAAATAACACACTCACACACACACACACACCTGAGCAGACAAACAGGTGTATAATTGGCGAGTGTTCAGCAAACATCAGCCTTATGTCAGCGTCGTCAGGTCGACTCAATCTGACTGTCAATATTTGTCTCTGCACCGTTTTGTTTTCACACCGTTCAAAATATTCATGTTCGGATTCAAACCGCAAATATTTGAGGTTTGGGCTGCCGGGGCCTGCGTAACCCTGCCGACGCTCCACGCCACAGCGAGTGCCACGCTGCGCCGCACCAACCGGGTTAAACAGACAACTTAGAGCCAGCGCTACCTGCAATCAGACTGAACTGTGACACTAACTCTTGACTGACTTCCAGAACCAGATCCTGGTTTTATCCTCAGGTGGTTCCTGAGGTTTGGCTTAGTATGTGGAGGACACCTCGATGATCTTCAGCTGAAAAACACTTCTGTACGTCTCTGACCTCTGACCCCAAAACCTCCAGAAACATTTAAAGTTCCAAACTGATAAAAACAACTTTACTGAGCTGCAGCGTGGGGCAGTAATAATATTACTATCCACACTAACTAGTAGTGGAACTAATTACTAATCAATGTCAGTAATAATATTACAGTCACCCCCTAACAAAAGTAACTAGTTACGTTACCTTTGTCTCCTCTTACTAATTTGAACTCCAACAGTCCAATCACATGGATTCATTACGGTAATCATGGAGGAAAGTAGTGTGAAATATTCCGTTCTTTGATTTTAACAAACAGAACTGGATTTTAATCATCATCAGTCTGAATTTGGGGCAACTGTAGTTTCTCTTTTGCACTTTAAAGGGGGGTGAAGTTAGGGAGTTGCTATCTGCATCTGATACACTGAAGCTTTTATGAGATGGCTTTACGCTGTTTTGTCTTCCTCTCTCTTTGGCGGTGCACCGATGTAATAACTCCGACAAGGTTCTTTCTTTGTTTACTCCTGTTTGAACTGAGTTTCAACAGGCTACAACACAAACCAATCATACTTAGACAGATAGACAGGTAGGTAGACTTACCTTGGCTACAGAGCTGTCTCTCTCTTCCATTACGGCCTTCATCTCCTGAGCAGTGATGTCATTCCTCCGTTGCCTTGCCAGCCGCAGATGCTGAACCAGAACTGATCCGAACTGCTCAACTTCCTGGACGGAGTCGGCGTCGCAAACACGGCGGAGGAGCTCGTCGGAATCCTAACAGATCAATAATGAGTTCAGACCTCTGAAATTACTAACAACAACAACACTGCTGCGATATTGACACTGTGTGAAGGGGTTTACCAGGTCGGAGTTCTCGGGTTCAATATCCTCCATCCTGAAGAGGAAGAAAGTTTCAGTTAGTTTCAGTTTCCTTCATCAGATTCAGTGTTTGTTTGTAAATCTGTTTTACATCAGCATGTCTGATAAACAAACCGAAAGAGAAGTAAATAAGATCTGACGACCCCAAAACCACCTACGGCCCGACTCACATATTTTTGTAAATCACTTTACCTCTGTAAAAAATGACATATACAAATAAATCTTACTTTCTTACATATATTTTAATTATTATTCACTTTGTGTTCTATTGCTATACTATGCAACAAGCTTTACAGTGAAGTAACTTCTATTCTTAACAATGATGGAGAGGTTTAGCGTTGGACCCTTCTCTCTTCATTAGGAACGAGGACAAGCTAAGGAAGTGACCAAAACTATCAAATATGAGCCACAAGGCTGCCCTGCACGCGCGCGACCGCCTATCCAGCAGTCCCCCAACATCTTCCATACAGTAAGCTTTGAGCCCAGTGCCAGATGGTTACCCCCAATGGTGCTCATTAATAATGTTCCTTTGGGTCAGTTGGCCACCAAATAAGAGTTGGCCAAACAAACTGGGGAGAGGCATTATAGGGGAATGGGGGGGAGCCTAAAAAAGACGTTTTAAAGGTCAATACCCAGTAGCGGGGGCCCCAGAGAAAGAAAAACAAACTAAATCAACCCTCTCATCGCCGTTGCCCCGATTTATAAATCAACAAAGTTCCCTCAAAATTCCTTGTATTTATTTAAAGAAATATGAAACCAATAAATAATAAACATAATATCAAATGAAAAACAATAAAAAGCTGATTCCTAAAGCTGTTGTTTGCGAAAATAGCCAGGAAGAAGTCTTTATAAGCGTCATTTTAAACTGCAGAGCCAAGTGAGGATGAAACCCGTAAAGAGGGCCGTAGGTGGTTGAGTCGGGCCGCTAGGTTTATCAAGTGCCGAAGGGCCCGTAGGTGGTTTTGAGCTGCGGCCGTAGTGGTTAATCAGTCGGGCCGTAAGTGGTTTTGAAGTCGGGCGTAGGTGGTTTGAGTCGGGCCCGTAGGTGGGTTTGAGTCCGGCCACTAAAGGTGGTTATCAGTCGGGGCCCGTAAGGTGGTTTTTGAGTCGGGGCGTAGGTGTTATCAGTCGGAGGTACTAAGGGGGTAAAGGAGAAGATTCCCAGCCGTAGTAGTTATCCCATCCGGGCGAGCCCTGTAAGTGGTTTTGAGTCCGGACCGTAGGTGGTTTATTCAGTCGGGCCGTAGGTGGTTTTGAGTGGGCCGTAAGGTGGTTTTGAGTTCCGGGCGTAGGTGGTTTTGCGTCGGGCCCGCGTAAAGGTGGTTATCAGTCGGGCCCGTAGGTGGTTTTGAGTCCGGGGCTAGTGGTTTTGGAGTCGGGCCGTAGGTGGTTATAAAGTCGGGCCGTAGGTGGTTTTGAGTCCGGGCCGCGTAGGTGGTTTTTGAGTCCGGGCCGTAGGTGGTTTTTGAGTCGGGCCATAGGTGGTTATTCCAGTCCGGGGGCCGTAGGTGGTTTTGAAGTTCGGGCCCGTAGGCTGGTTTCAGTCGGGGCCGTAAGGTGGTTTATTATCAAGTCGGGGCGTAAGGTTAGGTTTTGAGTCGGGCCGTAGGATGGTTATGCAGTCCCGGGCCGTAGGTGGTTTTGAGTCGGGCCGTAGGTGGTGTTTGAAGT